GCGCTGTCAGTGCCCACTTCTCCCGCAGCCTGAGCCCTGCTGCTGCCTCCTGATGCTCCCACGTCGCTCCCAAATGAAATCAGGGTTCAGCCTCCGGTGCCAGCTCAGCCTCTGGCCCCGGCTCAGCCTCCGGTGCCGGTTCTGCCTCCGGCCTCAGCCCTCCCGAGCTCGTGAGCGGTGGCACCGAGAGCCGAGGGATGGGACACGAGCAGGACGGCCCTGGGGTGCAAGTTCAAAGCTCCCCAGCTTCGAAGTGGAGGTTTACACCTCTGGAAACCCCTGAAGGGCATGGGGAGAGGGAGGCCGGGATGCTCCGGCTGCCAGCGCAGCCCTCGCCGCTTGTTTCCGTGCGCTGGTCACCACGGATTGAAGCGGCTTTGGAGGGAGCAGCGCCAGGCCAGGCAGCTGCTCCATGCGGCCCGACTTGGGCAGAGAGGCCACAGATTTCAGCCTCGGGGTGGAAGGACATGAGCCTCGGTACAGGCTCGGCCAGGACGGGTGACACAGGGGCCCGCGATCTGGCTCCTTTTGCTTACGGAGATCCCTGGGAAGATCTCAGTGCCAGCCAAAGGGCTTGGCTGTCAGCCCCCGTTCTCATCCGCTTTCCTCTTCTGGACCCATAACAGATGTGCAAAAAGAAGGGAAAAGCGGGACAAAGAAAAGAAAATCCACGTTCTCACCAGCTAAGGCCCTAGGTGGCGAGAATGGGGGGAGGAGGGGAGAAAAGCTCCAAATATGTTGTTTTGTCTTAAAGCAATTATGGGAAAATGAGTTAATCACAGGGTCACAGAAGCCATAACCATTAATTAATCCCCAGCAGGAGCCGGAAAGACGAATTTCCCGCAGTAAACAGACGTGAGGAACAGCGTGGCGAGGGATGAGGTTGGCGAGGGATTACTGGAGCAGGCAGCGGCGGCCGCCGCGGCAGCGCCGGGGCTGCCGAGCAGCTGCCCACGTCTTCGTCGGAGCCGGGATGAAGGCTTTCCTGCCACAGGTCTGCCTTAGGGTGCCTGAAATTGCCTTAGGGCAATTTCAACCAATTCATCATCTATTCATTCATCTATTGATCTGTTCAGTTATCTATCTACTACTGATACTTTGGTGGTGTTTAAATGATGGTCCCGTATTCTGGATGGCTTTAGAAAAATTCAACAAAGTCTTCTGCAGAAAAGACACTGTTGCCAGCCCAAGACACAGGTGAATTTAGGCAGATCCAGGAAAACACTGCAGTGCTGCCCTTCTTTCCCTGCCCTCCCTGCTGTTTCCCTGCATTAGGTTGTTTCTTGCTGGCCCTTCTGGAAGGGGTAGAAGAGCCGCTGAAAATTCGTGCGGGAGCAAGTTCCATAAAAATTATGATTTGCTATAAGCTCTGTGAGTTGGCTGCGTGCACATGATTAAATTAGTTTAAACCCGGCTTGTATTTATTTAGCTAAATGGAACAGGAATGATGTTCAACCCGAGCTGCGTCCAAATCCTCCTGGGCCGTCAGAGCTCGTTCGGGGCAGGCGCGAAGCGGCGCTCGCTTAATGCGCTCGGCTCCGCTGGGAGCTTTACCCAACATTTTTGGTGCCAGATCCCATGGCTGTGTGTTTTAAGGGTAATTCCCTATAAAGCAGGCTGCTCTGTGCTGCTTGGAGCAGTCGGAGCGGGCCAGGTGCCCTGCCCGTGGAAATGCTCCTGCTCGGGGTACCGGAGCCTCGTGCAGTTGGTGCCGGGTGCTGTCCCGGTGGCCTCTCCCAGCAGATGCTCTGGCTTCATCCTCCTCCTCCCGGCCTCTTTTTGGATGGCTCTGGAATAGAGATGTGCTCCGCTCACCTACGTGATTTGGCTGATGTCTACCTGAAATTGTGATTTTCCAAGGTGTGGGATGTATAGGGAGTATGTGGAGCGAAGAACATGAAAAGTGTCAGTGCAGAACAGTGGGAAAGGGGTATTTTGCCCCCACTAAATATAACTTTTGGACAAGTTTATCTTTTTTTTTTCTTTAAAGTGAGGCAGTTTTTGTTACAATGCTCCCATTAGGAAGTCGAAACAAATTCGTTTTGAAATGCTCCAAAGGGAACAGTCTGAGTGTCCAGATGTAAAATGCTTGTTTCGAAAGCATCAGAAAGAAACATTTCAGCTTCCCCCCAAAACCTTGCGGGGCTTTAATAGTGCAACCTGCTGGAGCTGGATGCCCATATGTGTCACCTCCATCAGACATCCCCCACTTAATACTATTTGATGCAGGAATAATCATCTCTCGCATTGATACCAGAGCTCAAACAGCTGTTCGCACCCATTTACCCTACCCTGGTTAGCTACAAATTCGCGCTCAGTTCCGCCAGGGCCTTTGCATTCAGAGAGCAAAAATTAACTCCAGACACTGCCAGACAAAAGATAACAGGCCCCATTTGAGAGCCCATCGAGGCTTTTGCTCAATCAGACGTCTCCACGAAGCGGAGATGTCTTGCTGCAGTTTCTCATTCCTCTCATTTATTTGATAACTGACCTTTTTGCAATGTGCCAAGTCTCGCAGTGCCCAAGCACCACTCGGCGCTGCTCGTTCTCCTGCAGCCGCCGTGAAGCTCCTAATGATGCGTCTCTTCGCAGGCACGCCAGCCCCCGACAAGGGCACTCCATGGGCTTGTTAACTGCTGCCAAGCGAGGCCGTGCCCCGCTGAGTCAACGAGGGCAACAGCAGGAGAAAGCTCTGGGCGTAATGGGAGCTTTGCGTGAGATTTGTCTCGCTGGGGTGAGTACCCATCGCTGCCCACGTCCCACCACGTTGGGCCCCCCTGTTCATCCCCACGGACACACTGGTCCCCACATTCACACCCAGCCCAGTCCCTTACTCCATCCGGGCAGCGCCTTGCCAGGGGCAGGGAAGCAAAGCCCTAGCTGGAGAGGAAACGGTGCCAGTGTTTAGGAGAACGTAGGGATGTTGTATAAATGCTGTCAGCAGCAGAGCAGAAGGGAAGGCAGAGAGAGACACAAAATGAGCCTTTGCGATATCCTCACCCATTTACACACATAAAACTTTCTAAATGCTAAGCCAAATAAAGTCGTCTTATCGGGGTATTACCACTTAAGGCTCTTTGAGGCAGATTTAGAATGAATTAGTGCTTTTTTTAACTACAAATAGGAGCAAAGTGAAATTTGTTACTCTGTCACCCTGGGTGGCTTCAGCATTAACCCTTGGAGGGGAGAGCTGCTCCGAGAGCCACATTGTCCCTGTGTGCACGGGATGCCAGGTTGTATGGATGCAGTTTCCCAGTCATCCTTCTCTTCTGCATCCAGGCAGGGCTTGGGACGCGCTGCGAACAGGAGCTGTTAGCTCTTGATGGTGCCCGGAGAAGAGTCGTGATTAACTCGAGTGCGTCTCCTCTCTTGCACTCCCAGTCCTGACAGGAGGAGTGACAGAGCCGGGCGAAGGCAGAGGCAGTCATTGAGTGGGGAAGCAATAAGGTGACGCCTTCCCGCTCGCCTCGCTGTGTGCGATGCTTAACGGCTCGGTGTGCCAGGGCCCGGGGTGCTCGGCTGGCGTTTGCTCCCGGGAGGCGCATGGGACTGTCACTGCAGACATCCCTGGGAATGGCAGGGACCCTACAGCATGGGCGCACTGAGGAGCAAGGTGCCCCAATCCGGGCATTTCCAGACTCTCTCCAGCTTGCTCATTCCACACAACCAGCTGAACAACCCCTCCAGCCTCCCTCACCTGCGCGGCCGGGTGCTCCTGCAGGCCCCTCCACAGGGATCGTTGATCCAAGGTGCCCGGGGAGCCAGGTCGATACCGAGATTCCCAGTGTCGCCTCTCCAGCTTGCCTGAGCGCTGCTCCTGCAGAGCCTCTACGGCCCCATCAGGGAAACACTATTGCTCATTAGCAATTAGCTGCTTCCCTTAATTGCTCTCCAGTCCTTTGGTCTCTTTGAGACAAGGGAAGGCTGTTCTGCTTTTTCACCGACGCTAATGTTTTACAAAGCTTTTTATTTCGGGGTTGGGGGAAACAGCCGTTGGAGGCTTCACAGCTGAAATTATTTATAGAGATTAATGGCTGTGGCTTTTGATGCCTCCAGGAACAGAGTCACCATATGCCAGTGTTTCTCTTGGAGACACGTGTCCCTCCCTGCCGGCCCCCTCCGCACTGGCATGCGGGTTGGCAGGGCCCCTGGGGACACTGCAGGTGAGCCAGGACAAGGTGGGTGGCAGCAAAGGTGCCCCCGGGGCCACCTGGGAGGAGAGATGCTCCCTTCCAGGGTGCTCTCATCCTCAGGGCTCTCCAAGGACGTGGTCGCCGGTCTCTGCAGGTCTGCCCAGCCTGCTGGGACGCTGCCCCGTGATGCTCTCCCACCCCTGCCCAGCTGCTGGGATTTGCTTGGATAAAGGCTGGCTGCATCCCTCAGGCTAGTTCAACTCATCAGCCCTGGTCCCACTGGCCTTGTCAATGCTGTGAGCCTTGGGAATGTTCTTCCAAGGCTTTTCCACAAATGCCAAAGTACCCCCCAAGTCCCAGGCTTGCAAAACTGCAGGCTGGTGGTGTGGAAGGAGAAGACACCAAGGTGTTACTCCTCCTTGGTGATGAGCCCTCAGGCTAGCTCCAGTTGCACTGGGATATCTTTAACCAAGATGTACAAGGCCCAGAAAGGATGGAAAATGACATATTTGTTGGTCACTAAATGCCAGCTCTGTTCAACATGTTGAATGACGCAGCCCAAACCATGTGGGCTCTGTAAAGGTGAAGCTCCTAAACCAGATCCACTCCTGAAAGGTTCACCTTCAAGAGGGGCAGCACTGGTGTCCTTCCAGAGTCTTGCTATTAATAAGGAGTCATTAGCAGAGCAGCTGTTGGAAGGGGCCTCCCGGGACCCGGCGCGCGCGAGCCATATGGTGAGGGAGAGATGGGTGGAAGAGCGATGTCAGGAGCCGGTCGGTGTCTGCCAAGCCAGGGCATTTGGGAGGCATCTCCTGCCACATGCCATGTGATAAATGGTAGTAGGAGCAGGGCTGACATCTCCATTTGCTCCTCTTTGTTTTGCAGCTCTTGGAAACCTTCTTTATGCATTGGGTTCGGGCCATGGTTCTCTTCCCTATGCAAATGTATGTGCTCTGTTATCTCATGGAGCTGGAAGGAAAATTGACATCAAGCATGCCGAGAGGAAATGTTGCTCCGGTTTGGGTTGCTCTTACACACTGTGTTACTACTCCATGCTCTCGGATGGTCTCTGATTGCCAGCACTGACTGAAAGGACAGGATTTTCCCCTTCATGAATAACCAGCTTTTTCACGATTCCTTTTCACTCCCTATCAGTATAAGGTAAAAATATATTAAATTTCCAGACAGGTACAAAAGATCCTCTTCAGTCCTTGCCAGTGCACTTTGCAGCCTGGAAACACTACCTGTGCTGTTTTATTCTTACTGATTTTAAGGGCTCCTGGGACATTCTACCAAATTTAGAAACTGTTTGGGTCCTTTCTTCTTCTTCTTTTT